AGAGGACCACGTACTTCCCTAAGGGAAGAGGAGAACGGAAGAAAAGTTAGTTCAAGTCCCTTTCATATTACCCTATCCCCACCTGGGTTCCCTCCGGGCAGCTTCACCTCTGTAGTCCGAAAGCTTGACTTCCTTGAAGGCGCCATCCACCACCGCGGTGGCCGTGAAATCAGGGGCCGGCTTTCCGATACGTGCGTTGCCGGATGCCATGACTGCAAGCAGAGACCCACAACGCAAAAGACCCTTTGTCTGGCTTTCCCAAGGTCACTCTTGGGGCTGAGTCCAGACACTGAGTGCGAGATGTGGAAACAGCAGCACTCATATTCAACCTCCCTTGTTGCAGAACAAGGTCTGCAAGGACTCAGGAGACCCGTCCCCCCCCCCCCAAACAGGGCCCAAGTGATGGGGTCACCGCTGCCACCTGAGTCAGCCCAAGCACGGGGGAAGGGCCGTGAGCCCTTGGTTTCAGAACGGGATGGTGAGCCCGTGAGCTCGGCGCTACGGCCTGCAAGCCAGGGCTCCAGCCTTGAGTCTGCCCCCAACCCCCATCCCACCACCCCCATCCCTGCAAGGACAAAGGCGGCCACCATAGAGCACGGAAAACAAAGACCGCCAGCAAGGAGGTCGTAATAGACCCAAAACCACACCAATGGGGCTCCTCCTATTCGTGTGCACTCTGGGTTTCCATACCTGCGTGGGCAAGATCCGGACACGCGGACGACCAGACACGACAGGACACAGAAAACAGAGATCTCAGAACCAAGTGAGCCCTAGGCCCTAGAGCTTTTTATGCGCGGCCCAAACCACACGAAGCAGGGCAGGGGGAGGTGGGCGGGACAGCTCCGCGGTCGAATCCACTGCGCCTGCAGAGGGGGAGCGCGAGGACCGGTTCACGCGCTTGCACAGGGAGATGGGTTGGGTGTGCCCTTGCGGATGCCGGGATTGTCTGTGCTGTGGGCTCCGCGCGGTCCCGAGCCGCAGGGGCGCGTTGGGGTCGGTTGGAGTCCGGGCATGGCCCGGAGCCGGCTGGCTCTACTGCTGCCACCTCTAGTACTTCTGGGGCTGGTGTCCTCTACTCAGATAGACCCGGACTACCAGTATTTTGGCCAGCAGGGCGCAGGTGATACCTGGGAGCTGCTGAAGCTGCAGCGAAAAAAGGGTAAACTTGAAGGTGGCGGGAGTGACAGTTTCAAAAGGTACCCCCAGAAGCCTCACTTAGCCAGCTGGCTACACACAGACCCTCCTGTGCCGACTCTGCCCAGCTCAGCACAGGCCTGCCCTCTGGGACTGGCCGCTTTTCTCTGAGTGTGTTGGTTTCTCATCTGTGGTTGTTTTTGTTTCATTTCACTATATTGAAAATTTTACCCGGCAGCTTCCTTGGTGGTCTGATAAATGTAACAGACACTGCCTGTCAGGAGCAGGGCACCAGGAGACAATAAACAACCTATAAACACAGCGCTAGGAAGGGTAGGGACAGAGATGGAAACTGGCCCAGTCAGCCTGAGATGTCAGCCAAGGTGTGGTGAGGATGGTAGCAACCCATACAGCCGGAATGACTAGCAGGGTCAAAATTACAGAGATTGGGCAGCAGTGTCCCAGAAGACGGGAACAAATGCAAAGGCCAAAAGGCCTCAGGGGAGGATGGGAAAAGCTGGGATTGTTTGGCAAAGATCTGTCGAGGAAGGGTATGAGGCACCAGGCTGAGTTCATCTCCACACACAAGTATCAATAAGGAGTTGTGATAAGACTTGATGTTGTACTGGTAGCTCAGATGGAGGAGCCCTTGGCCCAGCCAGCCAGCATGAAGTCCTGTTCCTTCCCCAGCACTGCAGAATCCACTACCCTATAGCAATCCTAACTTTTCGGAACTGAAGTCAGGGGATCTGAAGTTCAGAGTCATCTCTGGCTACCAAAGGAATTGGAGGCCAACTTGGAGTACATGAGACTCTGGCAAGAAAGGAAGGAAGGAAAGGAGGGAGGGAGGGAGGAAAAAAGGGAGGGAGGGAGGAAGAAAGGAAGGAAGGAAGGAAGGAAGGAAGGAAGGAAGGAAGGAAAAAGAGTCCTGTAAAAGTGTAGGTCGCACCAGCTCGAGCAGGGGCTCAGAGAGGTAGAGCAGCTTAACGCTGTGTGCCGGTGCCAGGGGTCGCCCTGGTGCCAACCGTCGTGGGTTAGAATCCTGCCTGCGCTGTCGATAGTCATGATAAATCTATGATAATTGTGCTGAATCGATGGTAAATGTGATCAATGTGCTGATTAATAATCGGAAAAAAAAAAGTTTGGGGGCTGGAGAGATGGCTCAGAGGTTAAGAGCATTGCCTGCTCTTCCAAAGGTCCTGAGTTCAATTCCCAGCAACCACATGGTGGCTCACAACCATCTGTAAGGGGATCTGGTGTCCTCTTCTGGCCTGTGGGCGTACACGCAGAGAGAACATTGTATACATAATAAATAAATAAATATTAAAAAAAAAAAGTGTAGGTCGGGTGGTAGAACACTTGACCAGAGTGTGTGAGCCCTGGATTAAATCTTACCTTTATCTTTAGCACAACACTGGAAAAAAAAAAAAAAAGGCGTAGCAGCTCCTGAGCATAAAAACTACTTTGTTGCTACAAGTTAGCACAGGCTGGCAGCAGCAGGGGATTGAAATAGGCTCAGTGTGTCATATAGATCACCCTCTGTTAGCCCTGCCTGTCAGGTGGCAGTGGGCCTGCTGCGTAGCCCGATTAAGTCCCTTAGGACAAGAGTCAACTTTGGTTGTCAGGTGTGAAGGAGGACAGAGAGTCCCGACTCCCAGCTGAGCAGGCTGGCACAGATTGGAGGTATTGGTTTGCAGCTGTGGGCAGTTCACGGGGTGTCAGCCTGACAGGTGGCTTGCTCTCCTAGCTCACCACTACACAGAGGCAGCGTAGTCTTCGAACGCCAGCTGTCCTTAGGTTCCTTATCTCTGTCCCTCCCCGGACAAGTCACCTGTAAGGGGGTTAATTTTCCCACCTGGGTTTTCAAGTCCACCCTCCTTCTCCAGTAGTGGAAGATTCCGTCCTAGGCCCGTGGGGAGAGTGGCGGTGTTTCTGCGATCTGGGCAAACAGGAGCGCAGCCGTCAGGTGCAGGGCACAGCGCCGGTCCCTGTGTTCATGGACCGGGAGAACCTGATACAGTTGAGGCCCTGCCGACAACGGGATTGTTCATCTTGCAAACCGATGGACTGCGACTGGAGGATCTGAGCAGAGGTGAGCAGCTGGGGAGGCGCAGAGAAGCCAGGGAGGATCCAGAGGACCCAGGAGTAGGCGGGGAGAGAAGTGAGGTACGGGCTGGCATGAGATGAGCACTTGGACCCAAAGTCTGAGACTTTAGGCTGGTGGGGGGAGCAGGCAGCTGACTTTGGACACAGGAGTCTTTCTAATAGCCAGGGGGAAGGTGGGAAATGTTGGTGGAGGCGAACCTTGTTGGTGCCCAAGACAGAAGCAGTAGGATCAAGAGTTCCAAGATCAACCTGGGCTATGTAGATAGCAAGGGCAGGCCATTTAAGGCTACAGGAAACCTTGTCTTCAAAACAAAGCAGAGCCAGGCAGTGGTGGCGCACTCCTTTAATCCCAGCACTCGGGAGGCAGAGGCAGGCGGATCTTTCCAGCTAGTTCCCGGACAGGCTCCAAAGCTACAGAGAAACCCTGTTTCAAAAAAACAAAACAAAAATAAAACAAAAACAAAACAAACAAACAAACAAAAAAAGCAGAAAAGGGAAGGGTTGAAGAGAGGCACGTGATAGATGAACTGGAACTCAGAGGATGGACCTTGACTTTGATGAGAAACAAGATTCCACACAAAAGGACTTGTGTCCCACTGAGGAAGGGAACAGTAGAGGAGTGTGATTGAATTAGCAGAGAGGTCTGGGAGATGTAGGGTTCCCTAAATTAGGGAAGAGCAGGAGAAGGGAGGATGGGTGGGGGAAAGAAGGGAGAAAGAAGCCTGCATGGTGTGTGCAAACCTTAAATGGGAATCTGCCGGGGCCTGGAATCTATAATAGTGGTAGAGAAGGCTTTACTTCCATGAGATGGTATCATGGGACAGGTCCTGGAGGCAGCAGGGGCCTTGAGAGCTATTAACACGGGGGTTTGGGAAATCGGAGTCAGAAGGCCTGAGCCCTGTTAAATCTGGGACACCTAGTACTAGGCGCATAGACTATGTGGAGAATGTGGAGTGTGTTGGCGCTGGAGAGGCAGGGGCAGGTGTATCTCTGTGAGTTCAAGGCCAATTTATGTAGCGAGTTCTAGGTCAGCCAGGCAAAAACAACAACAACAACAACAACAACAACAAAAGTGCACGTGGAGAGACAGTCAGATGTCTAGCACAAACCTGAACGTCAGGTGAGAGACGTGAGACCAAGACTCCGAGAGTGCAATATTTGATCTTTTGTCATTTTGTTAGGCTTGTTCTTCTTTCAGACAAGGTTTCTCTGTGTAGCCATGGCTGTCCTGGAACTCGCTCTGCAGACCAGGCTGGCCTCAAACCCAAAGATCCACCTGCCTCTACCTCCTGAGTGCTGGAATTAAAGGCGTGCACCATCACCGCCTGGCTTATATTTGGTCTATTAAGTCTCAAGAAAAGTCCACTGAGTGTGGGCTGGTACATCATCCTGAAGGTAGACAGGAGGCATTATGAGTAGAAGGTCATCCTAGGCCACGTTGTGACTTCAGGGGAGGCAACCTGGGCTTCATAAGAAACTGTCTCAAACAAACAAAAAACCGCAAAAAAACAGTCAACTAAACTGCATCTTAATTTCCTCTTTATTTCTCTTTACATCAGTCACTGAGGGCCTGGTTCCAGCAGCAACGGGGCGGAGCTTGCAAAGTGACCCCGCCCAGCCCCGACTACAAACCGCGCCCTTAGTGGTAGCTCTTGGGGACTACAATTCCCAGAAGAGAGTACAGCGGCGGCGACAGCGTCGCGCGCGCCAACGACCACGCCGACGGGTGCGTCGGGGGCGGGCCCTGCACGTCGATTGGTCGGCATCGAGAGCGGCAACTGGACTTGCGGAAAACGCGCGCTGGGAGCTGCGCCTGCAGTCTTGTTTTCTGCAGCTTTTGGCTGTCGCTGAGGCGGCATGGATCTCAGCGAGCTGGAAAGGGACAATACGGGCCGCTGTCGCCTGAGCTCTCCTGTACCTGCCGTGTGCCTCAAGGAGCCGTGCGTCCTGGGCGTGGATGAAGCGGGCCGGGGCCCGGTGCTTGGTGCGCCCCCAGGGCCGCAGGCTGGGAGGCGCGTTGTGAAAGGGGTGTAGATTGCAGGGACGTGGGAGTGGAGATCGACCAGGAGTGATAGTGGGATGTCCTTGGGCCGTGGTGGTGATGAAACAAGGTAGGCGACTTTTAGGTGTTCACTGGTTGGTACCCCGCTCTCAGAAATCTGACTTCCCTCCCAAGGACCCATGGTCTATGCCATCTGTTACTGCCCGCTGTCCCGCCTGACAGATCTTGAAGGCCTGAAAGTGGCAGGTGAGCCTGTGTTGAATGTCTACATTCGGGGTTTTGGGGTATGTGCAGGGGGCAGGTGAGATGGAGGGGGGGAGCGGAACTGAAAGACCCAGCGAGCTGCTCCCCACCCCCCTTTTTCTTTAACTTCTCAGATTCAAAGACCTTGACAGAGAACGAGCGGGAGAGGCTCTTTGCGAAAATGGAGGAGGATGGAGACTTTGTGGGATGGGCTTTGGACATTCTGTCTCCAAACCTGATCTCTACCAGCATGCTTGGGCGGTAAGGGGCCCCTGCGTGGGTGGGGGAAGAGCAACCAACACAGGTTGGCTGGGTTCTGCATCTGGGATGGTGTTGGCTAAGCTCTGTCCCTTACCACAGGGTCAAGTACAACCTCAACTCCCTGTCCCATGATACAGCTGCGGGGCTGATACAGTATGCGCTGGATCAGGGTGTGAATGTCACCCAGGTGAGCTGTTGGGTCACAGCCTTTTGGTGGCCTTCTGGTGAAAGGGGCTTTAAAAAATTGAAGCTGGGGATGGAGTTCAGCTGGTAGGTTGTTTGCCTAGCATGCTTGAAGTCCCGGCTTCCATCCCAGCATTGCTTGAAATCAGAGTTGTAGCACTTAGGAAGTGGAGGCAGGAGGATCAAGATTTTAAGGCCAGCCACCCTTAGCTCCAGAGTGAGTTGGTGTCAGCCTGTACCACCTGGAACCATGTTTTGTTTTGTTTGTTTGTTTTAAATCATAAAGCTGGACATAGTGGAGGAGGAGAATTGTGACTTTCGGGCATACATGAAGACCCTCCATGGCTTAGTTGGTACATGCCTGTTGCAGAGGCATGAGTGTGAAAAGCCATGGTGGCACTCAGGAGGCAGAGGCAGGCTGATCTCTGAGTTCCAGGACATCCACCCATAGTGAGACCCTGTCTAAAACCTTTCTTTGGATCCATAGCCCCCAGTGTAAAGTCAGGCACAGTGACATAAACCTGTCATCCCGATACACTTAACCGGGATGAAGGCAGATCTTGGGGTCTTGCTGGCTAGCCAGTCTAGGTGAATTGGGGAGCTCCAGGTCTAGTGAGAGACCTTGTGTCAAAATAAATAAATAAATTAGGCAAACAAATAAATAAATAAAAACGTACATGTTCATTCAGGTGGAAGCCAGAGGTCACAGTCGGGGATTTTCCTCAGTTGTTCTTCAAAAGTCACCCTAGAGCCAGGCTACAGTAACAGTTGGGGTGGTGGTGTGCACCTTTAGTCCCAGCACTTGAGAGGCAGAGTCAAGTGGATGTCTGTGAGTTTGAGACCAGCCTGGTCTACAGACTGAGTTCCAGCATATCTAAGGCTACACAGAGAAACCCTGTCTCAAACAAAACAAAACAAAACAAAAACAAACAAACAAACAGAGGGCTAGAGAGATGAGAGTTGTGGCAGCTATTCCAGAGGACCTGGGTTGGAGTCCCAGGACCACAGGGTGACTCAGACACAAACATTCTAACTCCAGTTCCAGGCATACATTTTTTTATTTTATGTGCATTGGTGTTTTGCCATGGGTTCTGGCTCCTCTGGAACTGGAATTACAGACAGTTGTGAGCCAACATGTAGGTGCTGGGAATTGAACCTGGGTCCTCGGGAAGAGCAGTCAGTGCTCTTAACCGCTGAGCCATCTCTCCAGCCTGGTTTTTTGTTTTTTTTGAGACAGGTTTCTCTGTACCTTTGGAGCCTGTCCTGGAACTAGCTCTTGTAGACCAGGCTGGCCTTGAACTCACAGAGATGGGTTTTCTTCTTTTTGTTTATTTTTGTTGTTGTTGTTGGTTTAGTTTTGTTTCTGAGAAAGGGTTTGGCTGGCCTTGAACTCAGAGGTTTACCTGCCTCTGCCTCCCAAGGGCTGGGTCTAAAGGTACACGCCACCCACCTTGGGGCCTGGCTATATGGTGGCTTTTGAAGAGCAATGAGGAAAAGCCCTGACTGTGACTTCCGGCTTCCTCCTGAATGTTCATGCACCCTTCACCTGGCGCGCTGAGGCACACGTGCATACACACAGTGGATGGAAGGGAAACGAGGGTCAGCTTTGCAGGTGAGCAGTAGAGCTGTGCCGAGCATGCTCAAGCACCTGCGCCTACTCTCCTACATCAAGGTGGTTCAGTGCATAAGAACCTCTGGCAATCTGAGTTCAATCCTCATGAGGGGGAACTGGCTTCTTCAGTGTCTTCTGACTTCCACAGCCTGGCCTGTGTGTATGTGCACACACATACTACAAAAAGTGAATAAGATTTCCTTTAGGAAAAGTTTAGTTGGCAAATTCAGCATTAGAACCAGATTTTATTTTGATTATTCCTGCCCTAAATATATGCCCCAACCTCCCTATCCTAAGTCTCCAGTGGTCCAGAGTGATTCCACAGTTCTACTTGTTCTGGCTTCTGTCCTATGCCAGGGTCCACCCTACACCTGGGAATCCATCCCATCCAGTTTTCTCAGTGAGCCCACTTTTAGGTGGCCCCCTTTGCCCTGCTTTTTGCAAAGCTGACAGTCTCAGTGAAATGTAGGGTTTTGTTTTGTTTTTTTATTTAATGAACTTAAAAGATTATGTGTATGGCTGTTTGCATGTATGTATGTATGTATATCACATGCATTATGGTGCCCATTGGATGTCAGAAGAAGGTATCAGATCTCCTGCAATTAGAGTTACAAATAGTTTTGAGCCACCGTGTGGGTGTTGGAAGTGAAGCCAGGTCCTCTGAGAACAGCAAGTGCTCTTGACTCCTGAGCCATCTTTCTAACCCTTTTTGTTTTTGAGGGCTATCGTGTAGCTCAGCATGTCCTCCAGCTCCATATGCAGTTAGCCCTTGAGCTTCTGATCTCTACCTCCGTCTTCCAAGAGCTGGGAGGACAGGCCTATGCCACCAAAGCTAGGGATGTGGACCTGGGGACGGAACGGAGGCTTTGAGCGTTCTAGGCAAACACTCTGCCTGCCGAGCCATATCCCCAGCCCAAATGCAAGAATTCTAATGCAGGGTGTTTGCTGCCTCGTCCTCAGCCCCTAGAATAACGGTGCGCACTAAGTGCCCAAGCCTGTCGCATGCTTAGGGAAAGCATATCTTGTTTTAGGTCAGTAGTTCTCAACCTGTGGGTTGCAACCCCTTTGAGGGATCGTTTATCAGATATCCTGCATATCAGATATCTACATTACAGTTCATAACAGCAAAATTATAGTTAGGAAGTAGCAACAAAATAATTTTATGGTTTTTTTTACATGAGTAGCTGTGTTAAAGGAAGATTGAGACCAATGTTTTAAACAGTGCTGTAGGTGGGGCGGAAAGAGCTGCCCGTGTAGTAAGAGGCAGTCTTATGATTGAACTATCCTTAACCCTGATAAATAATTTTTTTAAAAAATTGTGTGGCTGGCCTAGCAGTGGTGGTGCACACCTTTAATCCCAACATTTGGGAGGCAGAGGCAGACAGATCTCTGAGTTCAAGGTCAACCTAGTCTACAGAGTGAGTTCCAGGACAGGCTCCAAAGCTACAGCGAAACCTCCCTTGAAAAGGAAAAAAAACTGGGTTGGAAAGATGGCTGAACAGCTAAGAGCACTTGTTGCTCTTCCAGGTCTGTGTTCAGTTCTTTAACTTTCTCAGTGGCTAAAACTAACTACACCTCCAAGGGATCTGACGCCCTCTCCTGGCCTCTGTAGGCATCAAGCATACAAATGATACATAAACATACATGTAGACAAAATACTCATATGTATAAAATAAAAATATTTTAAATATGTATTATGCCACATATGGAGACACCTACCTTTAATCTGAGGCAGGTACCCCAAAACATTGGTGTGCAGTATATGCGTGAGCACTGACACATACATGTCAAGGCATGCATGGGGAGTCAGGGTAACTCAGAGTCAGCTTTCTCTTGTCTTGGGGGACTGAGTCTCTAACTAAGATCCAGACAGAGCGCAAGCACCTGTACCTGCTAAGCTGTTTCCATGGCCCCCACATTTTATAGTAATTAAAACCCAGGGGGCTCAGCAGTTAGAGAACACTGTCTGTTCTTCTAGGGGCTCCATGTTCAATTTCCAGCACCTCAATGGGAGCTCACAATTGTCTGTGACTCCAGTTCCAGGGCATCTGACCTGACCTCTTCTGGCCTCTGCAATCACCAGGCAAACGCATGCACAGACACACATGCAGACAAAACATCCGTACAAGGCAAGCGCATGCACAGACATACATGCAGACAGAACACTTGTACACCATAAGATGAAACAACACTGGGCTGGCAGCTTAGTGCTAGGAATTGAGTTTGGTCCTCAGTAGAGTAGGAGACTGCGTGCTTTACAGTTGTCTTTTCTGCTGTTGGTTAGGTGATTCCATTTCTTTTCTGTGTTTCTGTCACCATGGCAGGTATTTGTGGACACTGTAGGAATGCCAGAGACGTACCAGGCTCGGCTGCAACAACGCTTTCCAGGGATAGAGGTGACAGTCAAGGCCAAAGCAGATTCCCTGTTCCCTGTGGTCAGTGCTGCCAGCATCTTTGCCAAGGTTAGCATCCTGCCGGCCAAGGCCCATTCCCAGCATCTCCCCTGTGTAGGGACAGGCAAGACTCCCATGAGGAAGGAGACACTAAACTACTTCCTGCCTTGCCTGCAGGTGGCTCGAGACCAGGCTGTGAAGAACTGGCAGTTTGTGGAGAGTTTGCAGGATCTGGACTCTGACTATGGCTCAGGCTATCCCAATGGTGAACTGAGGGGCTTCTTTTCATTACGTTTTAAAAACTCTTTTATAATACTCTGGAGGCATAAGCAGGAGGATCTCTGGGTTTGAGGCCATTCTGCTCTACATAGTAAGCTTCACAACAGCTAGGGCTATATGAAGACCCTGTCTCAAAAGGCAAAACAAAATTCTATTTTATATGTATGGGTGGTTTGCCAGCATGTATATCTGTGTGCCATGTGCATGTCTGATGCCTGCAAAACACATGGTGCACATATGTAAAATAAAAGGAAATATTTTCAGAAATCAAAATGAGGTCTGGAGAGGTGGTTCAGTAGCTAAGAGTACTTGACTGCTCTTGCTGAGGACCAGAGTTCAGTTCCCAGCACCCACATTGGGCAGCTCATAACTGTCTGTAACTTCAGCTTTAGGGAAGCCAGTGGCCTCCAAGGGTACATGCATTCATACACACAGAGACACACATACATACACTTTAAAATAAACATTAAGCCTGGCAGTGGTGGCACATGCCTTTAATATCAGCACTCAGGAAGCAGAGACAGGCTGATCTCTGTGAGTTTGAGGCCACCCTGGTTTATAGAGTAAGTTCCAGAACACCCAGGACTACAAAGAGAAACCCTGTCTGAAAAACCAAAAATAAATATTTAAAAACTGGAAGATTAAAAAAAAGGAAAATAAAATTGGGTGGTGGTATACATCTTTGATCCCAGCACTCGGGAGGCAGAGGCAGGTGGATCTGTGTGAGTTTGCAGTCAGCCTGGGCTACATAGAGAAACCCTGTCCTGAAGAACCAAAGCAAGCAAACAAAAGCAAATGGAAGGCGTTGGGCCACAGATTCATTTCATACTCTTTCCATTATGAGACTCACAGTCTCCTCCGTTATGGACAGGAATACTTGCACACCCACTCCCCAAACACAAGCGCGGACATGGGCTGCTGCGAGGATTCAGCGACTTAAGGCTGGTGTATACCTCAGTGGCAGAATATGTGCTCATCGTGGACAAGGCCTTGAGTTCCACCCCACAACAAAATTCTTAAGAAAGAAAAGGTTAAGCTAGACACAGTAGTACTTTCTTATCCTTGAAACAGGAGCAGGAGGATCACAAGTTTGGGGCTAACGTGGGCAGCATAGCAAGACCTTGTCCCAGACAAAAAAAATCAGTTTGATGACTGTTATCCTTGTGTTTTAGGGAGTTGTCTCAGAAATACTCCCAAAACTTCTTAAGCACTGATGAGACACAGAATGGGGGTTGGAGACAGACTATACCTGCCTATGCAAAGGACATGGGACAGATAGGAACTTAAGATAGAGGGGGTGTCTTTGTACTCAAAAAAACCAAAGACATGCGTCCTTAATCCCAACATTCTGGAGGCAGAGGCAGGCGGGTGACCAGTCAGTGATCTACAGAGTGAAATTCTGTCTTAACAACAACAACAAAGAAGCTGAGGACGAAGGTGTCACGTGACTGTCACCTGCCACTCTGGTGCAATCACCATTATTTCTCTCTCCCTAGATCCCAAGACGAAAGCCTGGTTGAGGAAACACGTGGACCCCGTCTTTGGCTTCCCCCAGTTTGTTCGGTTCAGCTGGAGCACAGCACAGGCCATCCTGGAAAAGGAGGCAGAAAGTGTCACGTGGTTCGTGTCCTGAGCGTGCTGAGGGGGCAGAAGAGGGAGGGAGGCCATGTTTGTTCACTCAGTTTCTTGGGAAGTGGCCAGTGTCATTCCTTTTCCCCACAGGGAGGACTCGGCCGCTGAGGAAGATCCTGAGCGACCAGGAAGGATCACATCCTACTTCCTCAGCCAGGGACCTCAGACCTGCCGCCCACAGCTCCCCCACAGATACTTCCAGGAGCGAGGCCTGGAGGCAGCCAGCAGCCTCTAGGAGTGAATGTGTGTACCTACCCCTAGGAATGAAAGCTGTTCACAGAGAGTAAACGCTGTGCTTTGTGGCTGAGGTCTGGCAGGAGTATGCCCGTGGCTGGCAGCTGACTCCTCAAACAGAATAGGTGTTTCTAGGTTGGTACAGTTTGATAAATTTTTTTTTAAAGCAATGTGTCACTGTGTAGCCCTAGTTTGCAGGAACTCACTAAGTAGACCAGGCTGGCCTTGAGCTCACCGAGATCCACCTGCCTCTGCCTCCCAAGTGTTGGGATTAAAGGTGTGCTCCACCACCCAGCAATAAGGCTGTCCTTGAACTCAACAGGATTCATCTGCTTTTGCCTCTGGAGTGCTTGTGAGTAAAGGTGTGTGCTACCATGCTTGGCCCCGTTTTAGATTTTTGTCTTGTTTTTCAAGACAGGATTTCTCTATGTAGCCCAGACTGTCCTAGAACTCAATTTGTAAACCAGACTGGCCTTAAACTCACAGAAGTCTGCCTTTGTGTTTTCTCCCGAGAGATGGAAATAAAGGTGTTGCTAGGCAGTGGCGACGCATGCCTTTAATCCCAGCACTTGGGAGACAGAAGCAGGTGGATCTCTGTGAGTTTGAGGCCAGCCTGGTCTATAGAGTGAGATCCAGGACAGCCAGCTCTCTCTGAGGGGTAGGGGGAAGATATACATATCTGTGCGTGTATGTGTGTGTGTGTGTTGCATGCAGATATGTCTCTGCACCACATCCATGCAATACTCAATGAAGTCAGAAGAGGGCACCAAATCACCTCCAACTGGAGTTAGAGATGGTTTGGAGCCACCTTGTGGGTATTGGGAATCAGGTCCTCTGCTGTAGAAGGAGCGGTGGGCAGGAGAGTCAGTGCCGTTGTAGTGGCGCACACCTTTAATCCCAGCATTTGGGAGTCAGAGGCAGACACACCTCCGTGTAAGTTCAGGTCAGGCAAGGCTACATGAGATCCTGACTCAAAGCCAGAAATAGTTTGTTTATTTGGGGGAAAGGAACAAATGTGGAGGTCAGAGGACAACTTGCAAAAAAAAATTTTTCTTTTTCTTTTCGTTTTTTTGAGACAGGGTTTCTCTGTAGCTTTGGAGCCTGTCCTGGAACTAGCTCTTGTAGACCAGGCTGGTATCGAACTCACAGAGATCCGCCTGCCTCTGTCTCCCGAGTGCTGGGATTAAAGGCATGTGCCACCACCGCCCGGCAAGAATTGGTTCTTTTGCTACTGTGTGAGTTCTGGGGATAGAGCATAGGTCATCAGTTGGCCTGCTGGGCCATTTTCCTGGTCTCTCTTTCCTTTCCTTTCCTCTCCCCCTCTTCCTCCTCCCCTATGAGATTATCATTTTTTTGCAGCTTCCCAACTACTCCAAGCAGCAACCACATCGTATAACGTGGTCTAGGCAGTAACTTTATTCTGGGAAAGAGAGCAAATAAGTGAGAGGTGAGCCATTTCTAGGATAGTGGGTAGAAAAAAAAAAAATCTGTCTAGGCAGCCCCAGGGCGTGGCGTGGTTTGGGAGGGAGAGGAGAGGAATGTGACTCTATTTGGCTCCTGACCCAGGGAAGCCAAACATCTACTCAGGGCTGTCTCCGCTGCCGCTACCGCTGCCGCTGCCTGCAGCATTCAAGATCCAGGTGCGAGAGCGGCGGGCACGTGGGGAGGAGGTGGAGACATTGAGACAGTGGCGTGAACCTGGAGCTGCCACCCGTAGTGTGTGGCCCAGAACTGTGCGGCACAGGTCTTCAGCATTGGCGAAGGTCTAGGAGAAAGGGTGGGGTCAGGGTTAAAGAAGGTGGAGCCTGCGTTGCTGGGACAGGTCTTCTGGTCCAGGGTGTGATCTGAGCAATGGTGTTCCTTTGAGGGACTGGTCAGTCTCTGGCAGGGCCAGGGGAGGGATAACAGATTTCTTGGGCCTGCTGAGAACCCAGAGCAAAGACAGTAGCATGGAAGGAGAGTCTGGCGTCAGTGGGCTCCTGGGCACCATGCACACGTCCCACACTGAGGCTGGAACGGTGGGAGAGTGGAGCATGAGCCTATGGCCCTTTAGACTAGAGAGATGGTTCAGCCAGTAAGAGAATTGGCTGCTCTTACAGAGATCCCAGGTTAGATTTCCAGCACCCACGTGGTAGTTTACAACCGTAATTGCAATTCTAGGGACTCCACATTGTGTAAGGAGTTCCTCCAGGCACATAGGTAGTACACATGCAGGCAGGCAAAACACTCATACACAGAATAAAAGTAAGTCTTTAAAGATGATCCAGCTGTGGTAACCCACACTTTTAAAGGGATTGAGAGTACTAGAGCAACAGGCAGCCTGGTCTAAGTAGTGAGTTTCAGGATAGCAAGAGCTACGTAGAAAGTCCCTAACTCAAAGTAAAAGACCTCAGGTGTTGGAGCATGTCGGTTCTTCAGACCACAGTATGAATCCCACCCAACCCCTCGCTTTGGTCCTCACCTGCCCATAGGTGCGGCAGCTGGCCTCACAGCCCCTCTTCCCAGAGGGCTGCAGCCAAGTCGGACCACAGGTGAAATCTGCCTTGCAGGTAGTGAACCTGGGTATATGAGAAGGGAAAATGGGTTAGGGTTTTGGAGCCAGTTTGTCCTGCTCTCTGACCAACAGCCTCACCCTCAGGCTCCATCCCTTCAAAAGACCAACCCAGCCTTTGCAGGGTCCATATCCCAGGCTGATTCATTTATTCCTAGACAGGCCCTGAAGTTAGTCTAGAAGCTGTTTGGTGTCTCAGGATGACCTTGAATTCCTGACCCACTTTCCCAAGTACTGGTATTAGAGGCCACCAGTACCACCACACTATCCATTCCCTTCACCTTTTAAAAAGTATTTAACTTAATTTTTAAGTTAGGGTTTCTCTGTGTAGCCCTGACTGTCCTGGAATTAACTCTGTAGACCAGGCTGGCCTGGAACTCAGAGATCCTCCTGCCTCTGCTTCCTGAGTGCTGGAACTTAAGGCATGTGCCACCATCACCCAACTTAAAATTACTTTTAAATTATGTGTGTACACACTAGTGCTGGTGCCAGGGGGATTCCAAAGAGGACGTCAGATACCCTGGAGCTGGAATTATAAGCAACTGTGAGCCTGACATAAGTATTGGGAACTGAACCCAGGTCCTCTGAAAAAGTAGTAAGCACTCTTAACGGCTGAGCCATCTCTCCAGCCCAGAGAACCTGTTTGTGAGCTGCTCCTTGCATTCCTCTTTTAGCTCCTCTAAGGGTCAAAAACTTGAATCTTTTGAAACTTCCTGGCCGTCCAGAGCCATGGTTTCACGCTGCCTTAAATGCTAGTTCATTCTCTTTTACCGTGGCATCTACCTGGATCTACCCTTTTACCTCGGGTACACACTAGATCTCTTCTCATAGACCGACCCTTGCTCTGTAGGGGCTAAGGCCCTCCGCCCTGCCCATACTGTAGGGCACGCCCCTGTCCCCGCCTCCCTTACCAAGTCTGGCAGAGCTCCGGGCAGAGAGGCTGCTCTTGGTGCACTCCAAGCAGCGGCGGGTGGAAGCGATTGCGGAGGGTACGTTGGAGGCGTCCCAAGAAGAATTCACATCTGGACGTGGGAGAGACAGAACAGGCAGGGCACAGTCCTCAGGGGAAATGAAGTCTGAGCCCAGGTGCGGACAAATAGGGCGAAGAGCAGATGGACAGGCTAGTGGGTGCAGTACTCACTCTGGGCTTGGCACACCGCAGCTCTCTAGGGGGATTCCTGGGCTTGATGCCTCTGGCCTGTCTATCTCTGAGGCACAGCAAGGTTCTGGTGATGTCTGTGAACCAGGATCTTGGATCCTCGGGTAAGGCTGTGGAACCGAGGACTGAGGGTGCCCTGACAACAGGAATTTTATCAGCCATCCCAAAGAGAAGAACCTTAAAAAGATTTCTCTTGAGTTGAGTGAAACGGCATGGATCTGCAATCCCAGACACTTGGAGGCTGGAGCAGAGGGAACTTAGATCCTGGGTGAGAATAAGAACAAATAGGGCTAGGGATGGCCTAGTGGTATAAAGCTTGCCGAGTGTGTAAAAGGCACCAGGTTCAACTCCCATTATTGGAGACATTTTTCTGAGAAATGTGACTTCAAGCAGAACCGTGTATCACTCATAATGGGTTATGTCTGTGTTTCTTTGTATGCACTTCATTTCCACAACACCTGCATGTTAGCTCTGTGATTTCTCCATGTTCTTATATACTGGGGATTGGATCTAGGGCACTACCCATGTTAGGCATACATTCTATCATTGAGTTATATCTTCAGCATTATTTATACTAATTTTTAGAATTGTATTTGTTGTATGTGTAGTCATGTACCATCGCGTGTGTGTATGGAGGTCAGGGCAAGTTGCAGGAGTTGATTCTCTCTTCACCATATGAGTTCCAGGAACCTAACTCAGGTTGTTGAGCTTTTGGCAGTCATTTCTACCCACTGAGCCCTCTCGTCAGCCCTATGCATTTATTTTGAGATAGAGTTTCATGTGGTTCAGCCTGGCCTTCCAACTCCCTATGTAGCTGGCCTTGAAACCCTAATCCTCCTACATCCACCTTCTGCGTGCTGGGATTACAGGTGGGCATCACAGAACCTCTCTCTCTACCCCGGTCAACTGACTGGCTCAAGGTCACAGCACCAAAGTGTGGATTTGAAATTGGAACCAAGCAGCCTGATACCCAGAGACTGGTATTATCACTAACCCTGGCTGCCCACCCTCGTCACTACCCTCTTATAAGGAAGCTCAGAGTGGGGTTTCTCTGGGTTAGGATTTACATAAGATGCTCACCTGCTAGGTGCAGCTGGGTTGTGCGCACACTGGCTGGCAGCCCAGGGTGTCCCCAGAACATAACTTGCAGGGGGTGACTCCCTCCACAGGCCACCAAGAAGATCCATGCCAGGATCAGTCGCAGGGCCCAGTCCAGGCTGCTGGGTTGAAAGTGGCCTTTGTGGGCCATGTCCACCTGAGACAAGAGCCAGCTGGTATGGAAGGGTGAGGTGTGACTGTCCTGGAGGTTCAGCTCGGCGCTGGTGAGCGGACACCAGAGATGAGTGCCAGGAAGAACAGAGAATGGGCAATACTAGAGGAGGCCAGGCAAAGGCCAGGCTCTCAGAACCCTAGGGGGAGTTTCAGGGAAGAGCCCCTCCCAGCACACACATTCTTTCTGGCCCACGCACCACCCCCAGCTTAAACCACACATGCAAACAATCTCTCACCCTGTTTGCCCTCTGCTACTAACTTCCTTCAGAGGAGCAGGATCACCTCAGCTCTTCCACCCAAGATTTCCTCTCTCTCTCCAGCCCTGCCCTCCTCACTACTTTCACGGTCACCTTCTCTGGATCCACAATCGGCTTAGGAGCTTCCGCCCTGGTCTGGACCTTTAGTATGAGCTCGATTCTGGCAGGGCTGGGGTTCTGCCCCTAGGTACTACAAGCTTCTGGACAGAGGAAGGCAAGGGTATGGGAGACAAGATTTCCCACCTCCCTACCTACTCCCTGCCACTCACCTTTAGCGGGCTGGCGTATAGGGGCTGTGAAGACACCTCAGAACCACAGAACAAGGCCAGTGAACAGCGGCAACTGTAAGGGGTGCGGTTTGCTTCAGGGGCGGGGCTTTCCAAAGTCCCACCCGCCACAGCCACAAAACACGTGCTCTTGGGACTGGTGCATTTATATTAACAAGCTTGCCTTGTGTTAAACTCGGGATTTAAGATCCTGTCTGTCTGACTGACTTGGGTGCGTGCGTGTGTGTGATGTGTGGGTAACCCTGTGTCTCTGTCTCTCTTCTGTGTTGTATGAGAGAATGTCTCTTGAGTACGTGGTTTCATGTGCATGCTGGCTGGTATAGACTGCTGTACCTTTCTCCAGTTATTGTAATCCGTGTCCTTTAGCATTCTGTTCATTAATTCAAGATATTTGTTTATTTGTTTTGCTTTTTTTGAGACAAGGTTCTATGTAACTTTGGCTGTCCTGGAACTTGCTCTGTAGACCTTAAATTCACAGAAATCTGCCTGCTTCTGTCTCCCAAGTGCTAGGGTTAAAGGTGTGCACCACCACACCTGCCCAATAGACATTTATTAAACATACACTCTGAGAAGCTGGGCATGGTGGCCCACACCTTTAATCCCAGCACTGAGGAGACAGAGGCAGGAGAATTGGTCTGCAGAATGAGTTCTAGGACAGCCATGGCAGAATTCCTACCTCAAAAAGAAACACATAAAGCAACACGGTACTGGTTTCTGGGGTGCACTTATACAAGATCTGGCAATCTGTTTTCACAGAATTGACTCGACTCTAGATGGAGAACCAGGTGGGGGAAAAGCGCTGGAGAAGGGGGTGTGCATGGCTCTCATGCACCTGTGTGCCAGCTGCTGGGAGGAGTGTGTATCTGTGTGTTAAGTGGGAACTGTGCACCATAGAGCATCCTTGGGTTTTGGAGTTGTACATGTTGGGTTTGTAATTTTTTTTTAAGTGTGTTTGCATTTGATAAGTGTCTGTATGTCCGTTTTTCCTAAATATATGTTTGTATGATTGCAGAATGTAAGTTTTTAAGAAGGTATCTTTTTAAAAAGGTTTATTTTATGTACATGAGTGCTTTATCTGCATGTATGTCTTTATGCAAGAAGAGGGCATGTTGCTGCTGGGAAATGAACTCCAGACCTCTGGAAGAGTAGTCAGTGTTCTTAGCTGCTGAGCCATCTCTCCAGCCTGTGTGTGTGTGTGTGTGTGTGTGTGTGTGTGTGTGCTTGTTTATGTATATTATGTGTGTCTGTTTGCTGGATATTTGCAAATATTTATGTTTGTTGTGTGTGATTCTCTTTGCTGATTTTGTGTGTGTGTGTGTTTTTATATTTTACTATTTTAAGACAGGTGTGTGTGTGTGTCTGTCTGTCTGTCTGTCTCTTTGGATATGAGTGCAGTCGCCCTATGAGGTCATAGTCCTCTGATCCAACTGGAGCTGGAGTTACAGGCAGCAATGAGCTGCCTGACATGGGTGCTGGGAATTGAACTTGGGTCCTCTGCATGGGTGGTATGTTCTCTTAACCACTGAACAATCTCCCTAACCCATTATGCATGCTTTTGGAGAATAAGTGGGTCTTTATTTGAGGAGTGTGTACACATTATGTGTGAGTACTTGTTTGTGTCTGTGTTTAAAGAGTAAGATGTGTAAGGATATGCAGTGTTTGTGAATGTATTTGTAGAATATGTGTGTACACAACAGTGTATGTGCAGAGCACTTTCTGCTTTTACTCCTATGTCATATGCATGTTTTTAGAGATATGCATCCATCCTTATAGAATATGTATAGCACCACCAGAAATGTGTCTCCCTCCTATCTCACAGTGAGGCAGGCATTTTTAAAGGCTTACTTTAATTATTTAATAAAAAATAATTATTTAATTATTTTAGTATGCATTGGGTCTGGGGGTATGTGTGCACTTTACTGTAGTTGCCTGGGGAGGTCAGATGCCTCTGATCACCCAGAGCTGAGGGTACATGCTCTTGTCAACTACCCAGTGTGGATCTGGGAGCCAAACTCTGTTTCTCTGCAAGAGCATCAATCACTCTACTTCTAGTTTAAGTTATGTTATGCATATAGGTATTTTGACTGCATGTATATGCCCATCATGTTTGTGCCTGGTACCTATAGAGGCCAAACGAAGATCTCAGATCCCCTGGAATAGGAGTTATGAACAGTTGTGAGCCACTACATGGGTGCTAGGAATTAAACTCAGGTCTTCTGGAAGAGCAGTCAGTGTACTCTTAGTGGGTAAGACATCCCTGCAGCTTGTTGTGGAACTTAACCTCTCTGGCCCAAAGGCAGGGATGTAGCTTTGGTCTTTTCATTGCTGAACTCCTATATTGCCAAATTTTGTACTTTCTCACCGAACATGCTCAGTAGATGTTGAGTAAGGAAATTAATGAATTAATGCCTCCCTAGGGAAGGATATCCCTATGTAACCCAGGCTAGACTGGAACCTCTATTTCTCTATCTTTCTATGAGCAACAGTGACATCATAGAGGTCCCAGGAGCCAACTGTTACAGGAAACAGCTTTTGTCTGGGCTGGACCAAGGTGGTTGAGAGTCATATCTATCGTGTTTGTGGGGTTTGCCTCCCTCAAGACCCTGTGCACACGCATGCCCTCATCGCCTTCACGGTGCTCACATTTCAGCACCGTGGACAGGAGCACGAAGCCAGCACCAGGGACAGCTTTCTAGGCTGGGAACAAGAGAAAAATTGCAAGTCGTGGATAGACAAATATAAGCAACAGACTCATTGAGGTGGTTATGCTGACCAACTGAGAAAGATGCAGGCAACAATAACACAGGCAAAGGTGCAGAAACGAGGGCCAACCACCAAGAACACACTGACCCAGCCCTCTTCTCCCCTCCGTTGTCCAATGGAGGTCACACTAGTTCAGAGGGCCACCCTTCCACTTCCCGCTCTGTCTAGGGTTCAGGTGATGTCCTCTCCAACGCTGGGAAGCGTGGTCTAGTTTGGCCTAAACCGAGTGAGCTGGAGCGGAGTAAGGATCACTCCATCTGCCCCCTCCCCAGCTACCAGCTAATCGCTCTTATAAATATATCCTGACCTGGCCTAACTCCTTAATCCTGACCATGAGGCAAAGACTCTGGAGGGGCTGCAGGACTTAAGGGGTTCTGTCCTGTGTCAGGCAAAGGAAGGAGGTCTGAGTTGAGTGTATATACACATTTTTCTGAGGGGGAAACTCCCATGAGAACCAGCCTCTTGGCTGAACACGTGACTCTGGAAGAATGCATCTGTGGAGATCTGAGGATGTCCTGGGGTGGAGACAGTTTCCCACAGAGAAGAGAATATGCCTTCGAGTGGTCCCATTGTGGGGGATATTCGCTCCAGGGTGCCCAAATATGTCACCAATAGGATCTTTGAAGAAATGCCTCTTCAGGAAGGGGGATATTGAGATGAAGCGTCACCTCTCAGACACTATCTGTATTAGAAGTGATTTTCAGGGTGAAGGGATAGCTCTTCATGGCAGATCACATCCTTGTGGGAATGTGTCGCCTGTGGGGGGGCCGCTAGTCGCACCGGGAATTCGTCTGTTGAGAATAGCTCCCTTGGGGATCTTTCTTGGGTTGGAGGGTCTGTGCAAGAGAATGTCTTGATAGGGTCTCTCGCCAGCATGCCTCCCTTTGGGACATCTGGAGGCTCCACCCACCCAACCCTGCTCGCCCCACCACCACCAGCGCGGGCAACGGTGGCCGAAACCGGGCTCCAGCTCCCAGACGCAGTGACGGCGCCGGGCCCGCCCCGCTTCGCTCCGCCCTCCGCCCCCCCTCCCTCACCGGCCGCCGCCGCGGTCCCCGAGGCTTCTCTCTTCCTCCCTCCTCCCTCCTCCTGCTGCCGCCACTTCCCTCCTCCCTCCCCCGGACCGAAGTCGCCGCCGCCATGGACGATTCGGGCCTGATTCGCCGCCGGAGGCTGCAGGTACGCTGCAGCCCGGGCTCCAAGGAGGGGATGGGGTCGGTGCCCTGGGGCGGGGCCGAGCAGGACGCAGGAGAACTTGCGCCCGGGTCGGCCCTGGCGACCCTTAGTACTGCTAGAGGATGCTCTGGGCTAGGAGTGCAGTGGCCGCGCGTCCTGGCAGCGCGGACCCCGCCCCTCAGGCGTTGCCCGTGTATCCCGGAGGCTACTGGAGGGGCTGCATCCTAGCGCGCCCCCTCGAGGATGGTCTGGGCTGCATCTGGCCCCACCGGAGTCGGAGGCAGCGGGGCCCAGGTCCTTGCCCAGACGTTTGGACAGTCTGGGGGTGAAGGTGCGGCAAGTAAAGTTATTGCCCCAGGGTTCGAGCCCCTCGGGGTTACCAGCACTTCAGCAGCTGTAAACATGTTTGTTCGTCAGCCTCCCACCTCACCGCCTCAGAGCCCTTCCTAGGCTTGCGAACCTGAGTCCTCCATTCACCTGTCTGGCCACTAGGACTCTTCCTACTGCCCTAATTGGACAGGCACCTAGACAGCCTTCCCACTTTGCATTCCACCCCCTCCACTACAATACTCCCACCACAC